GTTTGTAAATAGGATATCATGTCTGCATCTTGTACAGCAAATAACCACTAGGAAGAGAGTATGCAATGTGTTTATTATTGGAACTGTCTTACCAATTTGGTTTGAAACTGTCTCATTGCTATTTGTTTCTCAATAAAATTATAGGAAAAAAACCCTCAAGGCTTTGAGTTAAATTCCTAGTACACCGCCCCCCAAAAATATGCATAGAAAATTTGAAAAATGACATTTGATGATATAGGGCATATGATATAGAGTTGATATGGGACTTCCTAATAATCTAAAGGAAATGTAAGCCCTCCACCTGCTAGGTGTCTGTCAAATGCGGCAAGTTCATGTTGTCTTAATTCAAAGAATGAATTCTAGGAACAATGGAGGTTAAGAGTAGGAAGTATTTATTGAAAGAAAGTTTCTGCCTAAGAGGGACAAAAGGAGTTCCAAGTGGTAGCCTAGAAACCTCACTTTTCAATGGAGTTTTATGAAGTAAAACCATGCAGTAAGACCGGTATAAGGTGGGAAAAACTATAGCTAACAAAATTATAAGTATAGTCACTTAGGTAACATTGAGCCAATGGAATATTACACGGTGGGTATGAGATGGGACAGAACTAGGGTCAACCAATAAGATTACAAGGACAATCATTTAGATAATATTGATTAAATGGGGATCAAAAGAGCAAGTAAGTCATGTAGCAATAGCAAGTGTACAAGGACCAAGCAAGAGCTTTCTGGAGAAGGGGGATTTTGTTTCTCTACCCAAGGTGATTGATGCCTATTTAGAATATCAATCAATTAAAAAAATAAAATAGGGCCAGTGAAATAGCTCAGCGGATCAAAGGGCCTGCAAGCAGGTTCAGGGGCCAGGGTTCGAGCCCCAGGCCTGCCGAGCAGGCCCTGCTCCGGGGGCCATGCTGAGATGGCCATTGAGACTGGGCTTGGTAGGGTGTGCCTATCCCAGGCCTTGGGAGACTGTAAGCAGGAGGATCACTACCCGTCTGATCTAGTAGTGAGACCCTGAGCACTCTGTAGACCCTTCCCTAAAATACAAAAATAATAAAATAAAGTGAAATTAAGAACTAATTACAAAATAAGAAAGAAAAAGAATATCCATCACTGTTGTTTATCCCTAAGGGAAGTGTATGGGTGTAGTCATTTCTATTTGTGCTGAGGCCTGATCTTCAAGGAATGTACCTGTTTGCTTAAAAGATTTCTACATACAAGGCTGTCCCGAACCAGCGGGTCAGTCAACGAAGGTCACCTGGGAGAGGAGCGGGGAATTGAGGAGGGGAAAAAGAACAGGAGACGCAAGAAATAGAGATAAGACAAAATTCGGATCAAGTCTCGTTTATTCAGGGGAAGTGCTGGGTATATATAGTGGAGGCATAGGGAAATGACTTCGGCGGGTTAAAAAGGTGCAAGTAACTAGGCAACCGCGCCATGACAGGAAGTCCCACCTCCGGGGCGTAGCAGGAGACTTATGGGAAATAGGTGGGGTAAGAAGAATTAGGAGCTTAGCTCAGCAGAGGTAGGGGAAGAGGAACCCAGAAACCCACTTGCAGTAGGATTGGAGACCTGGAGTTATTGAGCCTCCCACACAAGGCTAGCCTGAATTGCATAGCAAGACTCTGTCTCAAAAAGATAGGAAAAAAAAGAGAAAGATTTCTAAATAATTTAGCTATCTGAAATACTACAGTATTTCAGACTGAAAAAAATATATGCAGACGTTTATAGCAACATTAAAATAGCCCAAAAATGGGAAAATCCAATATGTCCATCAAATTGTGACAGGATAATTGAAATATGGTAGAGCAGATTATCATTCAGCCATCAAATATGAAGCACTAGCTGTAGGGCACTCAGGTCAACAATTTCTGACATTGCCAGTGAAGCGGAAGACCCAATACTACTATGGACTACTGGACTCTTTTAGAATATTGTGCTGAGTTAACACACCTATAATATTCAAATAACGGAACTTAACAAAAAAAGGGTATACAGATGAATGTCCATTTTGTGTCTGTGTATTCAAAATGGTTTGGATAGATATACAGTTGCATTCTCTTTATGAATAGAGGGATTTGTTCTAATAGTGTTTGTAAATAGGATATCATGTCCACATCTTGTATAGCAACTAACCACTAGGAAGAATGTATGTAATGTGTTAATTATTGAAACTGTCCTACCAATTTATTTTGAAACTGTCTCATTGCTATTTGTTTCTCAATAAAATTATGGGGGAAAAAAAAAACAAACCACGAAGCACTAGCCAGGACTGGTG